CCTTAACCGTAGCTCACTTCAAACGTTGTTTTGTTTTGCTTGATTTTGTTAACGAAGTTTTCTCGAAGGTTACTTATTATACGGCAGCAGCTCGCCTCCTTAGGGAACAATTCTTCCACGTGTGGACTTTCAGATGACTCTGTGGCTGTTTGTTGGAGAGGAAACTTTTGTTGACTTTTTTTCTTAAATTGATTTTGTCAAGGAATGTTTATCTTAAGTTGCTTACATTTCTACGGCAGCAGCCCGCCTCCGTTTGGAGTAACTCTGACAAGTGAGAGTAGATTGTGGACAAGTTTGTCCCTGTACCTATACCTGGTTGTTTGGTTGATGGAAAGAAAACTTGTCGACTAACACATCCTCTAACGATTTTCTCCTTGTTATTATTATTATTATTATTATTATTATTATTATTGTTATTTTTATTTCTATTGTATAATGTATTATTTTTTGTATTATTATTATCACTTTTTAAAATTATTATTATTATAATCATTATTGTATTATTATTAATATCATCATTATCATTATTATTATTATTATTAATATTGTTGTTATTTTTTTATACGTATATATTTTTAAAATGATGTTTTTCTTCCTGCATCTCTGTTCTTGTTTACTTCTTTCTTTCCACGTGTACATAACAAACTTCGAATCTCTCTGCTTTACCTTCTTGTCCAAGGGAGGAGGGGTGGACGACACTTCCCGTCGGCTGATGACATCACTGAGATTTTCCTCCGGATGGACCCAGTCTGTTGTCGCTGTTGTTGGGGCGTGTGACTGTTGGGAGGAAAAGGGGGGAGAGGGGAGAGAGGGGGGGGAGATACCAAATAGTTACATAGTTACATACAGGTGAATTAAAGGATTTTCTTACTGGGGCTGGGCTGGGGGTGGCAGGGGTGGACATAACAAGTTTTTGTGTTTTTTTTAATTTAAAAAAAAATTATATTATCATAATTAAGAGGGAGAGGCGGGTTTTTGTTTTTGCTTTAAAAAAAAGAGGAATAGGTTTATTAGGACTTTAAAAATAAGTTAGGTTTGTTTTTTTCATTATCGAGGGTAGATGGCGAGTGGATTGACTATATGGTTGATTGATTGGAGTTTTGTTTGTTTGTTTGGTTGGTTGTTTGTTTGTTCGTTTGTATGTTTCTTAGAGGGACACACAAAAAAGCTGGGGGTGGGTTGTTGGGTCACTTTGCTTTTCATTACCTGTCAGGTTTGAAAATCTTCAAAATGTTGGCCATTCGGGTTACTTACCTCGGGGGAAGATGAGATTGCCTTGGCTAGTTTGGGGGTAGGTGGGACTTCCGAGCTTGGGGGAGGTAGGGTAGACACCGCTAGTTTGGGGGTAGGTGGGACCTCCGAGCTGGAGGGAGGTCGGATCTCCCGGTCGATGGGGTCGGCCGATGACTGGTGGGTCGGAGGTCCTTGTTTTTGGCGTTTGTCACGGGGATATACTCCAGGGCCGTACATGGCAGCGACAGTTGGGGTTGTCACACGGGAGGGTTTGGAGGTAGGTGGGACTTCCGAGCTGGGGGGAGGTAGGGTAAACACCGCTAGTTTGGGGGTAGGTGGGACTTCCGAGCTGGGGGGAGGTAGGGTAGACACCGCTAGTTTGGGGGTAGGTGGGACCTCCGAGCTGGGGGGAGGTCGGATCTCCAGGTCGCTGGGGTCGGCCGATGACTGGTGGGTCGGAGGTCCTTGTTTTTGGCGTTTGTCAGGGGGAGGTACTCCAGGGCCGTACAGGGCAGCGACATTTGGGGTTGTCACACGGGAGGGTTTCTCTCCCTTTCTCCGGTGTTTGGCAGGGTTGGTCGTTTGGTTTTTCTTGTTCGCGTCTTGTTTTTCTGCTTGTTGGTCACATTCCTGGAATCAGAAACGCATAAGTATTATCCAGAAGGTCCTTGTAAAAAGGGTGGGGGTTTCTCTCTGTTTTACCATTTCATTTCCCTATTGACAGTTATTGTTTTCACGTGCTTCACTGTACCATAAATATCACAAACAAAACAAACTAAAAAAATTATAAACCAAGTTCTTCTTTTACCAAAGGCTAGTAAACCGCTTTATCAAACAAACAAAACACACAAAATACGGGAACAAAAATCAATCAATATAAAATGCTGTTGTTTGCTGTTTTTTTGTTTGATTGTTTATTGTTGTTTTTTATGCTAAGTTGTGCAAACAAATACAGCAGCAAAAATTGTAAACAATTAATAAAGTGCTGTTTTTACTAAACAGTTGGCCCATTAAAACAAACAAAACAATATACAAACAAAGCGGTGTCTTATAGAAACGAACAAATAAACACACACAAAAAAAACCCCCCCCCCCCCCCCAAAAAAAAAAGAAAAAGAGCAATGTGTTACCAAAGAGTAGGCGCCATGTCTACATCTCTTTCTGTCTTATATTTTCATTTATCTATTAGACAGTTATTGTTTTTGTGTGCTTCCTGTATGATAAAAAAAACAACCAAAACAAAACAAACAAATAAACAAAGTTCTTCTATTTCCACAGAGTAGTCAACCGCTTTGTCAAACTGACAAACACAAACAAACAAAAACAACCAATTAAGTGTTGTTTGGTTGGGGTCGTTTTTTAAAGTGTTTGGGGGTTTCTTTGGGGTTTTTTAATTTTTAGGTAAAATGCCAAGTTATGCAAACAAATACAACAGCAAAAATAGTAAAGAATTAATAAAGTTCTTTACTAACTAGTTGGCCCATTAAAACAAACAAAACAATATACAAAGAAAGTGGTGTCTTATAGAACGCAACAAATGAACACAGACACACATACACACACACACACACACACACACACACACCAAAACAAACAACCCCCCCCCCCCAACAAAAAAACAACAAGGCGATGTGTTACCAAAGAGTAGTCGGCTCTCTCTGCGTACATCTTAATCTCCTCCAGATTGTTCTCTCTCTGCCACTTGGTCCCCGGTACAGGCTCTCCGTTCCCCTCTGTCCATTCCACCTGGTTTTCTTTCCTCTCTTCTGTCAATCTCTCCTGCCTCTCCCATAGTTTATCCACCACTCCTCTGAGCACCGCTTTCTTCTTCATTTTTTTCGACCATCTTGGAGTGCCTTTTCGGCGATGCTTTGGTTGGGCCTGTTGGTTAAAAACAAAACAAAAATATATTTACAAAACAAAGCAACAACAATAATAACAACAACAAAGACAAGCAAAAAGAAAACAAAAACAACCACAACAACAAAGACAACAAAAACAACGACCACAACAAAGATAATAAAACAACAACCACAAGTACTACAAAGACGATGACAAAAGAAAAAAAATCCTCCTTAACCGTAGGTCACTTCAATGGTTGTTTTGTTTGTTTAGGTCAACTAAGGTTGCTCGTAGAAATTTTTATTGAGTGTCTCGGTCTTTCTGCTGGGATGTTGTATCCCTCTCAGCCTGAGTTGGCTCTGATGGGTAGGGTCAGAAGCTCTCTTCCTAAATGATCGAGATTGTGCCGATGGGGCCTTTAAAAAATCGACATAAAAAATTGAAGTGCCGAAGACTAGAAGTGTTATAAAAGAGTAACAAACACAAAAAGAAGGAGAGATAAGGACGTTAGATGTTTAACAGGAATGAAGGAGCAAACCACACCAGAGCACCCGCCAACCACTACGAAGTTTATGACTTAGAGTGAAAGTTGTTTCATGGACAAAACTTGACCATAGTCTGGTAATGGTAGACATTTTTTATTCAAATTCCAGTGCTTTCTTTGTACTTGTAAAAAACGGGTAGGGAAAACAGCAACCTATGAGTGGAAAATACTCGCACGGGTCGATAAAACCTAGCTTACAATTTTACAAATTATAATTATTGCATCCTCATGACTATTCTGTTTCTTCTCTTCTACTATTATTCTGCTATTTAGGCTCTGGAACGATATGCCTGACCATCGGAAGAAGACTGAGAAACGTGCACTTGACGTCATTATTATGTTGAACAAGCGACTACACCGCAGTGTAACAAGTCATCTTGACGAGCATAGCATACACACTTCCTTTTTTAAAAACAACAACATCCAAGCAGAAAAAATAGTGGTGAATGAAGAAGAAGAAGAAGAAGAAGATGATATTTTTTCTCATTCCTCATAATAATATACTCACGTTAGACATCATGTGATGTGTGACATACTCTCTTTGTCCAACACTTGGAATACGTTTTCTTGATTTGGACAACTTAGTAATGTGATACAATTCAGACAATTGTTTGTATTTTAAAAGAAATCAGGTTTACCAAGCAGAATTGGTCAACAAGAGAGCAGACATCAAGATTTAACAAACAAGTTGTATAACAAACGTCTTGCAGCGCACAGTTCAATACAGGTTTCCCTTGTTTAAGGAGACCAAAGATCACACTTTTTCCCCACACAGAAAATGTTCCAAACTCTTCCAATGAACACAAGAAATATTCAAATGCACATAAGAATTATTCAGAAGTACACAATCAAACGAATATTCCCTACAAGCGAAGATTATTTTCAACAGAAACGTTAGAAAATGGCTTCTTGGGCTCTTTCTTGCTGCTATGACACGAGGCACGCCGTGTGCAGTGTGCGTAGTGATTGGATAACCCGCTGTGGAGGGCGGGGCTTATGTGCATGTGCCCATCCCGTGTCGAATTGCCGGTTCTGTTTAGTTTTAGTAAGAGTTTTACGGAACATGCAACACAAATAGTTATATAAGTGGCCAAGGTTAGAAATTTTACCTACTAGAGTTTAACATACGAAGGAAAGAAGGACGAGAATTGAGTATGATAGAAGTTTGATTTTTAAACAAAAGAAATAAGAATCCACAACAGAGCACCCGCCAACCACATGGTTGTTTAGAAGCTGGACACAAAGGCTTGACCTGTAGCTGCCGTGGGCAGTGGATGCAGTTATGTGACTGACCTATATCCACCTCTCAATCTTCATAGCGGGACTTTGGAGAGGTAGACTGGTGGCGTCACATTTCTATCGGCTGCCATTTTGCCCCTCGCTTGAAGTTGTTCAAATCGTGATTATTTCAGAGTTAGAGGGCAATGTTGGCTTTGCTGTTTTGTTGTTGCTTTGTTTGTTTGGGGTTTGGGTTTTGCTTTGTTTGTTTTTGTTTGTGTTTTTTTGGGGGGTGCATTTTGAGTGAGTTGAAGTATTTTTTCTAGCATTTATTGTTTATTTCATTGTTGTTGTTTGTTATTATGGTGTGAGTGTCAAAATCCCCCACAAGCAGGTCATTCCTCTTCTTCTTTCTTCTTCTTCTTCTCCTCCTTTTTCTTCTTCTTCTTCTTCTTCTTTTTCTTCTTCTCTCTCTCTCTCTCTCTCTCTCTCTCTCTCTCTCTCTCTCTCTCTCTCTCGCTCATAATATTCATCTTATTTCTGTCCGCATGGTCTTATCCTCCCCCGTCCCCGGAATAAACGCTCATCACCCTATCCATGTATCTTTTCTGTACTCAAAACAATTAAACGTACAAACCAACTAACTAAAAAGTTTGTTTTAGAAGGAGTGAAAAATTTTTCATTGACCAAACTTGTTAACAGTCTCCCCTTGGTCCGAAAAGGACACAACGGAAAGTTCGTGGTCTTTAAGGCTGCAGCTGTCGCCATTTTCTTTTTAAAAAATGAAATTTAAACGTCACCATCGGAAGAAGACTATTAAACGTTCGTTTCAAGAAGAAGAAGAAGAAGAAGAAGAAGAAGAAGAAGAAGAAGAAGAAGAAGAAAAAGAAGAAGCTATCCATTTTCATATTCATGACACGAGGTGTACATGTGTTTTGCGCGTTATGTTTGGATAATCCGTGGTGGAGGGCGCGGTTCATGTATAGGTATCCATCCTGGGTCAAATAACCGCATGGGATGGCTTGAAATCCACATGTGAACATGCAACATACATACGTCATATAAAAGCCGAAGGGTATAGGTTTTAGTGACAAGAGAAAGGAGAAGGAGAGATAAGACGATAGAAGTTTGATACGAAAGAAAGAACAAACCACAACAGAGCACCCGTCAACCACGTGGTTGTTTAGGGGCTGGACACAAAGGCTTGACCAGTAGTAGCGGGACAAGAGAGTGGAGTCATGTGACTGGCCTTTGTCCACCTGTCAATCTTCATTGAGGGACTCTGAATAGGTAGACTATAACGTCACCTTTCTTTCAGCGGCCATTTTGTCTCTTACTTGAAATTTGACTTTGTTTGTGTTTAAATCGGGATTTTTTTTTCAGCCAAAGACCAATGCTGATTTTTCTGTTTTGTTGCATTTCATTGTGGTTTGTTTTTGTTTTGTTTCTGTTTTGTTTTTTGGTGGGTGGTGTTAGTTGTTATCCAAATCACTCATTTCGAGGTGGATCTGTTCCTTAGACATTCAAACGTAATGTTTGACGTCCTCCTCTACATGGGTGCGTTTTTCGTCAACATAGACCGGAGCTCGTCGTTAAAGAGAGTACTTTATCCCATCTTACGCTCCAATGATTGGTCCGACTTGCAGGTCTCGCTAGAACAACCTGGTCTCCTGCATGA